ATCAAAAGTGGGGGAAATGGCTCTTAACACTGCTAAAGAGATTCTGGGTTTGAAGATGTTTCCCAAATTTGCCAAGAAAGTTTAGAAAGAAAGAGGAAGGATATACTTCTAGACTAAGCAAACAGGCTAGAATTGGAATAAGAGGAAAGCTGAAATTGTCACAGAGTTGGTCGAGCATTTAGGGATATCAGAAAACACAGGCAAGTGTTAAAAAAAAATTAAATTGAAAATTAGACAATTGGAGTTAGAAGATAAAAAAAAGGAAGGAAGAGCCAAGGCAGAAGAGGAAGAGAGGGAATTGAAACGGTTTGAATTAGAGTTACAAGCAGAGGAAAGACAAAAAGAAAAAGAGAAGGGAGAAAGAGAGAGAGTTTGAAATTCGCAAGTTGCAAATTAAACAAGAAAGTTAATTTAAAAGGATGGAAATGAAGGTAGAAGAGAGGCTTAGTGAAGAGGAGTGATGATGCAGAAGCCTTTTTCATTTCCTTTAAGAAATTGGCTAACCAGATGAATTGGCCAGAGACTGTGTGGGTAATGTTAATTCATACCAAGTTGGTAGGTAGGGCTAGTAAGGTGTTTGCAGCGCTGTCAGATGAGGTATCAAGAGAGTATGAAGAAATAAAACAGGCTATTTTGAGTGCCTATGAATTGGTACTGTAGACAACAGTTAAGAAATATAAGAAAGGAACCAGGTCAGACTTATGTCGAATTTGAAAGAATTAAACATAGCATCTTTGATAGATGAGTGAGCGCATTACAGATAGAAAAGACATATGAGGAGCTTAGAGAGATTATTCTGCTGGAGGAGTTCAAAAACTCACTTCCAGAAATGATAAGAACTCATGTAGAGTGACGTGAAGACGAAGGCTATTGAGGAATTTCCAAGACCATCCTCGAAGAAGGAAGTGCTACGATTTCTGGAACTGAGCGGATTCTATGGGAAGTTTTACCAAGCTTTAGTAGTGTGGTGGCAACGCTGATGAATATGTTCAAGAAGAACACAAAATTCCAGTGGACAGACCAATGCCAGGAGGCATTTGAGAATTTCAAAGCGCCTCACCAGTTTTAGCCACGCCAAATTTCTCGAAACTCTTTAAAGTCGCTATTGACTCAAGCGATGTACGTGTTGGAGCTGTGTTGTTACAGGAGAAAGACTGTGGAATTGAAAGGTCAATTGGTTATTTTTCAAAGAAACTGAATATCCACCAGAGAAACTATTCAATCGTTGAAAAAGAGTTATTGAGTTTGGTCCTGGCCCCTTACAACATTTTAATGTTTATGTTGCAAATGACGGATCAGAGACGATTGTGTACACTGATCACAACCTATTGACATTGTTGTAAAGATTTGAAGACTAGAACATCAGACTATTTCATTGGAGTTTTATGTTAGAAGCATTTAATTTACAGGTTGTACATGTTGCGGGTCGTGAAAATGTTACTATGGATGCATTATCGCGGGTTTAAAAGGAAAATGTATCTATAAGATAGAAACGGCAGTGTTCAATGTTATATAAGTTATATAGTATGAAATGTGTAACACTAGATTAATGATCTATGGATCTGGTAATAATGGCTTTACTGTTTAGAAAAAGAAATGAAGCCATTTTTTAATCATGATGGTTCATTTTTTTTTAAGGGGGAGGTATTGCGAAGTTGGGTAGAGTACTTGATGTGCATAAAATGATGGGGGGAGGGGAAGAGTGCACGGCCCCTTTAAAAGATGATGTGTTTTTTTCTCGGCTTGGAGATTTTAAAAAACGTGCAGCTGCACAGAAAGCTGCTGAAATCAAAACATTATATCAAAAGGCTGTGTGGTTAATAACACAGGCAGTAGTTTGTTTTAGTATTAAGGTTACCTGTTTGAAAGTCAGCCAATTAATTTAAACCAGGCACTTAGAAACTGAAAAAAAAATTAAATTTAAATCTGATTTTTTTAACAACTTAGAACCAATCCTATTGTAAGAAATTGATAGGTCATCAAGGGTATAAAAGTAGAGGACATTCAAAAATCGGTGTGACAGTAACTGCCATCTATTAGAGTTAATAACGAGCGAGAGAAACTCACTGGCTCTCACAGAATTCTCTAAGCTCTCAGAAAACCATCATCTGACTAAGGTACAGCGGCACTCTTACCTAATATTCCTGACACTAGGATTTGACGGAGAAAGGTGCTCCTGACTGAATAAGTGGAGAAGGCACCGATCATTCCAGAAGACGTATCCTGGCTGTAATTTTGAGAGACTAAGTTTTAAGTTTTTTTATGTACTAATTTAGTTTACATAAGTGGACTTCTATTTATTGGAACAGCATACCATTAGAATTTTGTTCTATTCAGGAATAGTTAGCAGTTAAGGGGGGAATTGTTCAGTTTGTAAGTAGTTCTGTTAATTTGTTCACTGTTAGAGTTAGGTAAATAAATTGTTACTTGTTGATTATAGAGTGACTATCAGGAGTTCATTTCATTTAAACTCCCCTTTATAACAGATTGGGAGGTGAGAGGCAGGTTTTGCCACTTTTCACACTTCTCTTAACAGATCATGAGGTGATGCGAGGTGAGATTCTCGAGGTGTTTTGGTTTTAGTTATTCAGAGGGAGGGTCGACCTCTGCTTCATGATTGTACTGATTCCCTCAAATCCACATAAAGCCTGGTAAACATGACACATCTCAGTATACCTCTACAGACCTTCAATTTCTTTACTAGCTTTCCCCAATTTCCTTCATCTAATGTATGAAAGTGTATTGTCTAACTATCCCAGTATTTCAACTTGGGCTAGTCAGATTGCAGGAGACTCAGTTTATAAATCATCTACCTCACTGTCATTGTCCCTACTAGATCACACAAACAAAACCACCAGTGGCCTCTAGTTTTTTTTTTGTTCTGTCATAAACTCAGCAGTCTGAATACCTAATGAATTAACAATGTAGGTATCTGGCTAGCCTCTTACTAAGTCAGAGGCCTTCTTGGAAATGATGTATTTACATCACCTCTCCAAATGACTTTCTGATTTCTTAAAGAAAAATTCTTCGCGGAACTGAAACCAAAGCCCACTGCCTAATTTTAAAAATCCAAGTTTTCAAATGATACTATATGTTACACACTTTTTATTTCAAACTCCAATGGATGCAGCTCAACTTTCCATCTAAATTGCATGTGTGCACAGCCGTTCCAAGGTTCCCTGTATGGCAGTGGTGGTACACCAATTGTAGTCCTGACTTTGGTTCCAGAAGTTGCAGCTATACATGGGTGCTGGAGACCCACACAGCCAGGAAGAAAATTAGAGGGTATGGTGATACAGCTCTCAACTTTTCCTCATAAGACAAGACTTCCATCTCAGAAATGAGTTGTGTGAACCTTCTCTGAACTGCTAATACATTTATCTACATTTTTTGAAATAAGGGGAACAAAACTGAATATTAAACAGATAAGACAATTGGGGGAAAATGAAAAGGCCTTTGCCTTGATAATAAAGAATGGGTTTGAGAAAGTACAGAACTTATCTCAGAAAATCAAGAAGTGGAATTTGGTGAAGCTAAAGAAACAGCAAGGTATAGGTGTCTTTTAACTGCTTACAAACCCCAAGCAGTGGTCATAGACTCAGCAATGCCCTGTCCAGCTGCAGGAAAACTGCACTCATTTTATATTCTTTTCCCTTGCAACAAAGCCTGTTTGTATTTGTAAACACTTGCAATGTCTGCATTCTATCTGTTCCTCATTTACCAACTTTGACATTTCCCCAGATTTCAAGTCTTAGAGGATTTAAAATGTTAACTGTTTGTCTGTCTCTACACATGCTCCTGGGCATGTTGAGTTTCTCCACAACATTGTTTTGGTTCAGATCTCCAGTATCTGCAAAGCTTTACTTTTTTGACCTTTCCCCCTCCATTTCTGAATCTACCATTTCCTGAATATTCCCAGCCCTCTTTTTTGTTTAAAAGCCCAGTCTACGGCCTTAGTTATTCAATTTGCGCATACATTAGCCTGGTTTAAGCGGAGGCTACCTTTCTCCAAGATCGGTGCTAACCGGACCATGAAGTGGCCTCACACACCAGCCCTACAGTTCTGAATATTAACCTTCCGTCTATTCTCATTCGGTTAACTTAAAACTACTCAACTCCTGAACATCCACTCCCTTTAGGGTATAAAATTTAAAAATCCCCGACACTTTGAGATCAGACTTTTCTTCCTATCGCTGTCCTGAATGCCGAATCTTTTATTCTGAGACCGTGAAACTAAGTGCCAGATGCCCCTCATTTGCTGGAGAAACTCGGCAGGTCTTGTTGCAGCAACGGTGGAGAGACTGAGAGAAAAAAAGTTAACGTTTCAAAGACCAATATTTTAAAGATCAGATCCTGGGTGCTTTCCCCAGCACCGACTCTAATCTATCAAGTCCCTAAAACATTTTATACTTTAATGAAACTGCCTCTCATGTTTGTCAACTACGCTTTATCCATTCAACCTTCTGTAATAAACAATCATCTTAATCCAGAAATCAGTTCAGTGACTCTTCCCTTTACTCCCAAGGCAAGTGAACCCTTCCCTTGGCGAGGCTAATTTGCAACGAATCCAGAGATACTGCCTCAGTTTTAAACTCCTCGGATTCTTTCAGCAGAACCTCATGCCTATGCCATTGCTAGATGGAGCACGGCAACTGGATCATTCCCTCCCGACTCTAAATCCTTCCTCAGCCGTGAGAACTCCCTGATGCTGGTTATGAGCAGGTTTTACAACCTTCACGCCCTATGTCTCTATCCTGCCCAGCTCCTGTTACTACCCAAACCCTATCGCCCCGAGTTGTAAAGGTGCAGACTGTTTCTCCCCCAACAACATGCCCATTGGGCTTTTAAATATTTTGAATGAAACGGCCTCTTTACTATCAGTGCTGCTGCTGATTTTTTTTCAGACGGTGAACCTTGCGCCGTCACTCACTCAGTTCACGGGCATCCACGTCTCCAACCGCCGCCCGCGCGCGCCCCTGACCTGCCGTCCAATCGGCGGCGGCCCTGGCCGTGCCGTGACGTCACCGAGGCGGGAAAAGGAGCGGCCGTTAACAGAAAAGGGCGCGAAGCCCTCGTGTAGAGGGTGAGAGAGGAGCGCGAGGTAAGGACGGAAGGAAGGGTGGAGAATGGGAGAGAAAGACGGAGTGGCGGGGGAAACGCCAGGGGAAAGAGGGATGGAGTGGTGGGAAAAGGGAGGGAGGATTGGAGTGCTGGGTTAGGGATGGTGAAACGGGAAGGAGGGAGGGGTGGGGGAAATGGCAGAGAATGGTGGGTTGGGGAGGGAATGGAGTGGTGGGGCGGAGGGAATGGAGTGGTTGGGGGGGAGGGAGTGAAGTGGTGGAGTGGTTGGTTGGGAGGGAGTGGAGTGGAGTGGAGTGGTGGGGCGGGGTGGGGTGGGAGTGGTGGGGTGGGAAGGGATTGGGGGGGAGGGGAGTGGTGGGGTAGCAACTTGTACTGGCACTGTGGTTTTCAGTTTTGAATAAGCAGGGTGGAAAGTTTATTACTGAGTTGTGTTCTGTCCATGAAAGTCAGCAAGCAGTTCCAGTATAAAGACAGATTGTACCATTCAAGAATATAGCAGCTTGTACTGGAATACTGTGGCTGCATTTGTAGTCTCTTGAAAAAGGAAGGAGCTAGCCTGTAATATACTCTATATCGCCAAAAACATTAAAACCATAAAACATCAAATTTTGGCAGGATCAGCAGCAGAGTCATGGGCAAGTGCATCTCATGAGCTAGCACTTTCAGCTAGCTTTTTTATCTATGTGGTGAAATTTCATGACTTGTCATAGTAATCAAGACCTTTGCTTTATCACTTTAATTCCAGTGTAGACTCAAAATTATATAACATAACCTATTTCAGGTATTCGGATACTAAACATCATTGATTTTTAGTGAGCGATAGTAAGAACTGCCGATGCTGGAGTCAGATAATAGTGTGGAGCTGGAGGAACACAGCAGGCCAGGCGGCATCAGAGGAGCAGGAAAGCTGATGTTTCGGGTCGGGACCCAATATGTTACACAGCATAGAATAATATAACTGATTCATATGAGCAAAGCCATGGAAAATTTGATTGACGTGGCCTGTGAATTTTCTTGAAGTGGTTAATGTTCTGCAGGCACAAGTGCAGCAGAAAACCCGTCTCCACAAATTGTGTTTCTACTAATGCCATGGTTGAGGCTAGTCTTTAAGAAATTTGAGCCCTTTTTCTTGGTGTTCAAAAATATTAAAGCTTTTTTCTTTTTAAAGGAAAGCTTCACAGAATTGAAGAGGAGGAGCTGTTATGGAAAAAAATGATGTTCAAAGTTTGAAGAATGCTAAGAGGTAGATTTCTGGTGATAACATCTGAATATCATGTTTCAAAATCTGTGTGCTGTACCAATAGGAGATTTTAATGATCTTATTCAAATGAAAGGAGAGGAATTTAGGATTATTTCACTTAGCTGATGCTAAAGCACAGGCAGGGACTGTAATCATGCGGGATTTCTAAGAACTGCTTTCAGTTAAAATGATGGAATGACAGTGGCTTTAGAGAACAGTGCTGGAAAGTTGCATTGGCTAGGAATAGCTCTTGAAGCTCTTAAGGCAGGTGTATAAGTCTACCTTAAGTAATATTCTTGCTGAATATTAAGACTATTGCACGACTGTTACTATGTAGCCTGAAAGACGCTGCTTTAACTACCTGCATCATCTATATGTATATCAATTAGGAGGTCCACAAAATATTGGAGCATGTTGAATTTCTTCCATGGGAGGAATCTATGGGCTCTGGCTTTATTCAATGTTAGTGTTGTACTGCCCAACCAAAATATTGAGTGGTACAGTGATAATATCACTGGAGTAATACAAAGACCCAACTTAATGCTCTGGGGGCCATGGCTTCAATCTCCTCCACAGCAGCTGGAGGAATATAAATTTAATTAATAAAAGTGCAATTAACTTACAAATCTGAAATTTAAAGCTAGTCTCGGTAATTGTGACTATGGGCTGGATTTTATGGGGTGGAGGATGTAAAATGCAATGAGTGCCATTCCTGCCCCTGTTGATGCTGAGAATTAACTGGCAATGGAAGAGGCCCATGCCACGTATCTAGCCCAACTTTGACTGCACAGGCTGGTAATGAATAACGGTGGGTTACACCCTTTGGAGGGAATCTCCAAGACCTTCTAACATTTCTCTGTTCATTTTGCTAGCCTTTGCAACTGTGGCTCCTTCTGATTAGAGACCGGATGCAGTCCTAGCAGTGGCTACTGCTCCTGGTGATACTCTGAAAAAGTAGAACTTGCTTCCCAGATAGTGGCAGATGCATTTAGGGCATTTAATACTTGCTAGACTAGGAACAGGTTGGTCTCGTCCTGGGGTGGCTGGGGGTGGGGTAAGAATCCTTTTGCTGTCCATCCTACCCATATAAAATTCAGACCCAAAGATCTGAAATTGATCGTTGTTCAAAACCTATTTGGCTTACTAAAGATCCTGCAGTTCTAATGAATGAATCAAAACACAGTCAGCAACTTCTAAACGTTTGTCCAACAGTGCGCTTGAGAGTCTGAGAAACAGGGAAGCATTTTAATTAAGAGAACAAAGATATGTTAATCTATAGGATAAAATAGAGGTACATCCCAGTCCCAAGACCCTGGCTGAATTTGGTAACCTCTTCCTTTTTTCCAGAGTTTCCCACCATCCTGTTACCACCTTCATCATCTGGGAGAGACTGGATTATTTCTAAGGGAAGATTGGCCAAAGGAGACAAATACGTGTCAAATATGATATCGACAAGATTGTTGCAGCTGAATTCCTCAACCCACAAGGAAGGCTGTTGCAGATTGTTAAAGCAAATATGGTAATATAACTCCTGCTACATACTTTGAATCCTGATTCACCATGTATGTTAGAAGATCAGTGTCGCAAAAAAAACTCAAAAGAATTAATGAGCAAAACTGCAGCTGACAAAGATACATGCAATGTATCACTTTGATGTTTTGAGCATGTTTCTTTAATTGCTTCTTCATTGACAGCTGTGCCTTCAAATGCCTGGCCCTGAGGTCTAGGCATATCTACCAGCCTTTCTTTCCTTTTTTTTTCAAGTCAAGTCCTTAAAACCAACCTCTTTGACCAATAGGTTGATTGTCTGCCTGAACACCACTTTGTATAGTTTGGTATCAAATTTTCATGTTGGGCCGAAGGGCCTGTTTCCACACTGTAGGGATTCTATGAATCTATGAAACACTTGTGTGAAGTGTCTTGAAATATTTTACTACATTAAAGGTGCTATTTACAAAACATGTTGGTATGGAAGAAGGTGAGTAAAACAAAATTGAATTCAAAGCAAGAATTAAGGATCTCAAGAAACGTGAACACTGCAATGAAAGATGACTAAGATGGCAAGAGACAAGCCAAGAGAAATGACATAAAGTACTCACACATAGTTTCACTATTCTTAGAGATACATTTCTGACTTCCTTAACCACATCTTCTGTGCCTATAGTACTATCTCCTGATTATAGTAGTTGTTATAATTTAATATGCTAAGCTTGCCACTTGTCAGTGAATAGCTGGATGATTTGAGCAAGGATAGTTATTTGGCTTTCGGGCTCATGTTGGTTTTGGGTGCCCAGAGATTTTATGGATCATGTAGAGTCCAGAATAATTTGGATAATTTTATAGGGCTTTTGCAGAAGTCCAGTTCAATCTTCTTACTTTTCTTTTAGAATAGGCCCATTTAACAATTAACTTGGAGGCTTCCACACGTTTTATAGGTCTTAAAAGTAATAAAACCCAAAGCCATCTCCGGAAATTTGGGGCTGTGCCCCCAATATTCACATCTACCGAAAGTACAGGTCGTTCTCCTATAACGTGATAGTTGTGTTCTTGTGTGACCTTGTGCTATAGAAAACAGCGTTATAGGGAAATCTTTATAGAAAATCACTATACCTGTACAGTAGAAAGTTCGCATTATCCAAACAGCATCCACTATTCATCAATTGCATTACAGCCAATTCACATTAACGAAACAGCGTTATTAGCAGTACTTCCAGTAAAATAAACTTAGTCGGTTGGGATGTCACTCATGGAAGGAAGCACTGCCATGACAGATGTCCCCACCCTGGAGTTCTCTGAAAATTGAATACTTAGGTCAAAGCACAACATAATTTTGAACTTTACTATCCTTAATGAAGAAACATACAGGCCTCTTAGCAGTAATCAGGATGTGTGGCAGAAAACAAATCAGGAGATAGAAAAGGCATGTAGGAGAGGTGCTGTTACAATCATGGGGAACTTCAATAGGCAGGTGTCTGGGAAAATCAGGTTGGTTGTGGAACTCAAGAAGAGAAATTCATGGATGTCTATGAAATGGGCTTTTTGGAGCAGCTTGTGGTATAACCAACTAGGGAATAGCCAATTCTGGATCTAGTGATATGTAAAGAGGCAGATTTGATTAGGGAGCTTAAGGCAAAGGATCTGCCAAGATGGCAGTAGCCATAATATAGAATTCACGCTGCTGTTTGAAAGAGGGGAGCTGGAATAATAGTATTATAGTTGAGTAAAGGTATCTGAAAAGACATGAGGGAGGGCAGAGTTGATTGGAAGGGGTGCCTAGCAGGGAGGATAGTGGAGCATCAATGGCAGGGGTTTCCAGGGGTAATTCGTGAGGGACAGCAGAAATTCATCCTAAAGAAGAATAACCATACTAAGGGGAAGATGAGGTAACCATGGCAGACTGGGGAAGTCAGGGACAGCATAAAAGAAGAAGCATACAATGTGGTAAAAATTAATGGGAAGTCTTTTAAAAATCAACAGAGGACAGCTAAAAACCAATGGGAGGGCAGGGAGAAGATGAAATATGATGGTAAACTAGCTAGGAATTTGCAAGAGTTTTTTTTTACAGATCTTAAAAAGTAAGAGGGAGGCAAGAGTGGACATTAGACCACTGGAAAATGAGGTTGGAGAAGTAATGGGGAACAAAGAAATGGCATCGGAACTGGATAGGTACTTTGCATCAGTCTTCACAGTGGAAGACACCAGTAGCATACCAGAACTTCCAAGAGTCCGGGGCAGAGATGAGTGTAAAGGTCATCACTAAGGTACTGGTGAAGCTGAAAAGTCTGAATGAGTTAGTTGAGGTTGTGGAGGCATTGGTGGTGATCTTTCAGGAATCACTGGAGTGAGGGAGGGTCCCAGAGAACTTGAAAATGGCTAACGTAACACCCCTGTTTAAGAAGGGTGGGAGGCAGAAGACAGGAAACTTTAGGCTGACGATGTCAGTCATTAGTAAGACTTAAGTCCATAATTAAGCATGGCAATGCAGAATACTTCCAAGTAAAATAGGGCTGAGTCAGTATGGCTTCAGCGGGGAGCGAGTTTCATGCCTGATGAGTGTATCAGAATTATTCGAGGAGGTAACAAGCAAGTTAAACAAAGGAGGGCCAGTGGACGTGACCTATTTGGATATCCAGAAGGCATTTGACAAGGTGTCACACAAGAGTTGGCTACATGAGATAAGAGCCTATGTGTTGGGAGCAAGGTACTGGCATGGATAGAGGATTGGCCAACTGGCGGAAGGCAGAGTTGGGGTAAAGGAGTCTTTTTCAGGATGGCACCCAGTGACTGGTGGAGCTTTGTAGAGGTCAGTGTTGGGACCACATCTATTTTCGTTAATGATGTGGATGCTGGAACTGAGGGCATTGTTGCTAAGTTTGTAGATGACACAAAGATAGGTGCACAGACAGGTAGTGTTGAATATAAGAGCGCAGGTGGTTTATGGGAATAATCCTGGGGTTGAAGGGCTTGTCAGAGGAGGAGCAGTTAAGGACTCTGGATCTGTACTCGGTGGAGTTTAGAAGGATGAGGAGGAATCTCATTGAAACTTACAGAATACTAAAAGTCCTGGATAGAGTGGAGGTGGAGAAGATGTTTCCATGAGGAGAGAGCACAGTCTCAAGAGACAACCTTTAGAACTGAGATAAAGAGGAATTTCTTCACCCAGAGGATGGTTAATCTGCAGAGCTTGTTGCACAGAGGCCTGTGATGGCCAAGTCATTGAGTGTAGTTAAGACAGAGCCATAGAGATGTATAGCATGGGAACAGACCCTTCAGTCCAATTTACCATGCCAACCAGGCATCCCAAACTAATCCTGTCCCACCTGCTTGCACCTGGCCCACCC